ACACTGCAATGACTGTAACTTGTCATCTACATGAAAATGACCCTCTTGGTCAGAAATCATTCAGGGGTAATGCTGACAGCCAAGAGATTATATTAAAAGTTAGATGTTATTTAGAAGTAAGACTGACATCTGAGGGATGGAATCAACTTCTTCTGTAGAAAAGGAGCTGAGGTAGCAGAACACTTAAAATAACTACAGCTACACGAGAATATCCCACAGAAGGGGATATTTGTCAACAGTGATAGAAGAGAGTTAGTGCTTGGGGTTTTCATTCTGACACAGTGTGACAATTTATACTGAAAACATATCATGATTCTTTGTTCTGTTTGGTTTTGTGTGTTCCATTATTTCAACTAATATCCATGTTTAAAATAATGGAATCCACTAGTAATGATGGTTAATTGAGCAGTACATATTGAATATTGAAGATTGTACAGTGGGAAAGAAGGCCAAAACCTGTTCTAAATAATAAATGAGAATAAAGTAATAGTTCAGTAACTATTCAGGAATAGTAAATTTGCTGAATATTAAATGTCATTTCATTAGTCTTATCAAATGGTGACAAAATATGAACTTGAAAGAATATTTTAATTAAAATTTGTAAAAAACAGACAATCCAAAATATCAAATGTACTGTACTCAGTTTAAAAATAACCAAATAAAAAAATGATCCGAAAAATCATGAGGAAGTCTCCATCACTTCAAGAAACTACTCCACATTATTCTTCAAAAGTATTTTATGTAGATATTTGAAATATTTTTTTCTAATACAACTTTTTCATTATACAGGCTTGAACGCTGTAATCTGAACAAGGATATATGTGAAATTCTGTCCTCAGCTCTCAGATCAAATACTTCAGACTTGATAGAGTTAGACCTGAGTAATAATAACCTGGAAGACTCAGGTGGGAACCTTCTCTCTGCTGGACTGAAGGATCAAAATTGCAAACTGGAGAAACTGAGGTGAGTTTGTCAGGATTATAGTAGAAGCAATGAAGTTTGAGTGGAATTAAATCCTGTAACCTTCAAAGGTGTTTCTTTTTTTAATCAAGAATTGACAATTTGAATTTTACAATTCAGAATGTCTCAAAATTGTAATGGTAATTAGGGAAGTCAGGAAAATATACTGTAGATCTTTTAAATATAATGCAAATACACTCAAGTGGTACACATAATTCAATGCACATGAGAAACAGCATGTCAGACCATTTTATTCTGTGGTAATATGCTGGTGAAATAGTAATAAAAATAAACCTGGAGAAAACAAACATTTATTGAAAATAAAATACAAATAACCACTACAAACCATTGAACAAAATATGTACAACATATGGAATTAGATAAACATAACATGAAAAACATATGTACAAAACTATGTATTCCAGAAGTCTATGTTTTATACTCTGAGAAACCCAGAATGCTAGCCCAGTAATCTGAAACACTGAGCAACACCTAAACGGGTCAAAAAGAGAAAATACACCCAGCATCCTAAATAAAAAAATACTGCTCAGTGCTAAATTATCCTTTATACAGCATGGATGCCCACAAGTGACTGCAAATCTATCTCCTTATTCTAAGGACACATAACCAAACTAGGTGAGAACAAGCTTAGTCTGAGAATTCCACAATAAATGGAATCCAGCATTTCTGCTGAGAGTTCTCCCAGAGGAATTAACTCATTCTGTACAATAATGGAAAAGGGAAATATTTTAAATTTTCAGCCCCTTAAGGACATGTACTTTTTTTCTAAAATCTACACATGTTTCAGTACTTTCTGAAAGAGATCAAGGAACATGATTCAAATGTTTAACTAAATCAAATTATACAGATTTGTATCCTGGCTTAAGAGAAGGGCACTTGTAAAACAGTATCAACACCGTATCAAGGTATAATGAGCTCTAGAAAAGAAACAACAGACTATTTAAAAAAAATGGGAAGAAGAACTAAAGATTACCATCACTAGCAAGGACAGGAAGAACATTCAAAAAGATGTTGGGAGTTTTGCTGGAAAACCCCCAAAATAAAATTGTGTATGTGGTTTGCCACATTGTGGTAATAGGGAAGCAGGGCATTGCCATATACAGTATACAGTACTGTTTTTGCACCGTCCGAGAATTCAATCCTGTTTGTTTGAAGATATATTATGTTTAGAAATACCAAAATCTTGTTTAGTCCTTAATCTGGATAATCTGCCTGACAAGGTTGAGGGAGGAGATAAGTACCTGCTTAAAGAAGTTTGAGCAGCAAGCAAGAAAGGTATAACATGTAAATGGTTACAAACAGATCCCTGAACCAAAGAAAACTGGATTGCTGTTGTTTCAGAGACTTATGAAATGAAAAATCAGTTAAGGCTCCATAAGGAGGCCTTTGAGAGATACTGGGAGAGGAACATTATTTATACTACCTAATAATATTGATTTTAAGTTTTTTTAGTTATATTATTATTAGTTATATCTTTTGTCTAAACAATCTTTTCTCCCTAGCACTATACCCTCTGTCAAAATGGAAAAGAATTAAAAGTAGCAGACTATATACTCATGTATATTTGTAATAGTTTAAGTATTATGATGCATTATTATTTTTGAATATTTTTGTATGTTTATAAAACAATGATAATATACAAGTAAAAAAAAAGAACTGCAAATGTTGAAGATGTTACAACCCAATCATAAATATACATTTTGTATCAGTATATTACAATTATCTACATATAATAACATCTACAGTACATGCTTATAGAAAGTCTACACCCCCTTGAATGTTTTACCTTTTGTTGTGTCAGTGCCTCAGAGATTCTTGTATTTTTGAAGATTTCTTTTCCTATTAGCTACATAACATACTTTACACATTTAAGGGAAAAAATATTTTGATTTAGAAAATATATACAGTAAAATGTGAAACTGAAATAGCATAATTGAATGAGTTTCAATGAGCCCTTGAGTAACTTCATGGAAACATGTATAGCTGTGATTTTGTTGGGATAGGTCTTTACCTTGCACACTTAAATGTGACAATTTGTGACCATTTTCAATACAAAATTGTTTCTTGGGGAGCTTTGATGGTCAGCCATTCATTCAAGTCATGTCACAACCTTTCACAACCTTTCAGTTAGATTTTGGCTGTTACTCTGACACAAGAACATTTTCATTTTTATTCTTTAGTCACTCTAGTGTAACTTTGTAAGTTTGCTTCAGGTCATTGGCATGTAAAAGGTGAAATTTTGTCCCAGATTCAGCTTTCTTGCTGAGGGCACAGGTATTTCTCAAGGCCTTTTCTTTATTTTGCTCCACTTTCCCTTTTATCCTGATAATTGCCCCAGTCCCTGCCAGTGAGAAACATCCCCTCAAAATGATACTTCCACCATCATGCTTCATAGTAGGCATGGCATTCTTTGGGTGATGTGCTGCATTGGGTTTGTACCAAGAGTAAATCTCTTACCAAGAGTAATGTATGCAGTATCACTTAATTGCTTTGTTGCTTTTTTTCAGTAATGGCTTCCTACTTGCATTCCTGCCATAGAGGCCAGATTTGTGCTTAGGATATTTCCATGGCATGCTTTGACCAGTCAAAGATTTGACCAGATCTTTCAAAGTTGCCATTAGCATCTTGATAACCTCGCTGATCAGTGTCCTTTTAGATCAGCCATCACATTTATAGGAATGACTTGATCTGAGCAAGGTCTTGGTGACCCTTTACAACTTCCACTTCTTAATTGACCATTTTGCAAGGGATATTCAAGGGATTTGAAACTTTACTAACCATTCTGTGATCTGTGCCTTTCCACAACATTGTCTCTGTGTTCATTTGAAAGTAATTAAAAAAATACATGTTGTATTTTAAATTTGTCATGTTGTCATATTGTTTCTGATACTTTAATAGTAACTGCAGCATGGTGGTACCGCCATTAGCATTCCTGCCTTGTAGATCTATGTATTCAGTTCTGAACATGGGGTGCTATCTGTGTGGAGTATATGTTCTCACCATAGGTTTCAAAAGGATAAGATAAAAAGGTCCAAAAGGATACTGGTAGGCTAATTTGCTTCTGAGGAGAAACAGGCCCTGGTGTAAGAGTGTGTATTTGTGTCTGTGTGTGCCCTGCAATAGTCTGGTGGTATTATTTGTCATTCTGAATTTACCTTTTCACTACCCAAAGAAGATTGATATGTGGCACTTGTAGTGGATTAGACGTTAGTCCAACAGTATCTTAATTTAATCTGCAAGAGAACATGTAATAGGTGCTGCATGCTGATGCAGCCACCAACCTGAACTGCTTAATTTAATCTGTTGTACTAGTTCTTTAAATCCACTTAATATAGAATATTCATATTCATATGGAGTCATATAACTAAAGGGGAATTGTATAAGATGAAAATAAAAATAACTGAAGTATAATAACTATAAAATAAGTTATTTATGAATAAAATATATTTATATAGCTGGTAGTGGATACTGAAAAACGTTACACAACAGTAATCAACCTACTTCATAAACATTTTTTGCATCTATTTTTCTCCCTCCACTACCCCCCAACATCTGAAGACATCTTTATTTATAATACTTTTTTCTCTTCCTTAATACGCCTCTTTTTCATTTCCTTAATACATCTCTTTCTCTTCCTTTACTTTCTTTACTTAACCATTTTAATTTCCTTCCACTCCATATATTCTATTTTTTGAACTCAGTCACTTGCTGCAGTTATTTTGAAGAACTTTTGATGTCCTTGTTTTAACTACATTTCCCATGAGCACTTGTTGTTGTTGTTATTGTAGGAAAGATTTAACATGGTCATTTAAACTTTATTTCTGATGATCATTTGCAAAGATCATTAATATCAATAAATGCATAACAAGCACATGCCACATGGTCTGTTATTTTTATTGTTTTATGTATTTTGTTGTCTGCTTTGTTAATTAGATTCTGGAAAAATAGACCTTGATGTGAGTGTATGTGTACTTGTGTCTGTATATGCCCTATGATAGACGGCCATCTCATACAGTATGTATCCCACTTGTGCACGTTGCTTGCTAGGATAGTCTCTGGCTACCCTGTGAGCTTGTATTGGATAAAGTAGTTAGAAAATAGATGGATGAATTATGTTGTCTTGAAAATATATTACTGTTCTGACATGTCATAATTTACTGTACAGGTTGGAAAGATGCAATCTCACAAAGGGGTGTTGTGAGGCTCTGGCCTTGGCTCTCAGTATAAACTCTTCACACCTGAAAGAGCTGGATTTGAGTAACAACAATTTAGAGGATTCAGGAATGAAAATGCTCTGTGATGCACTGGCGAATCCCTACTGTAAACTTGAAAAACTGAGGTGAGTATGAAAAGAAATAAGAGTGTTGAAGGGCTTTATCACAAGTAATGTGCCTGCCAGATTTATTATCCCTGATAATACATGGACAGTATTCAGTAACGTTATTGAAGGATATATGGATTGCATAGTGTATCCAACTGAAAGAATAAACAAATGTCATACATTAATCTTAAATGCACAGAGCAAATTGTTTACAATGTTGTCATAAACTCAGGAAATACAAGGGTGAGATTTATCACATCTTTCTTGTTAGTATTTTGTTAATTATCCTCTGGTAGACATATCACTTAAACAATTTCCTCTAGTGTGCTTTGAGGTTTTTGCACTTCTAGTGCCTTCAAACCCTTTTGTATCATCTTATGTACTGCTTTGTCAAGTTGAAACTACAGATTTTTATTAGATTAGGTCTGGAGATTAAAATAGGTTGAGAATATTTATTTTGTATGCACTTTGTGTGAGTGAACTACTGGATGTTTTTGTGATTTTGGATATATGCTTTGGATCATGGTCATTATGGAATGTCCATTTCTTTCGAATTGTTTCTTACTAGTCCATGTTTAAATCATTAATGCTTTAATGCATGCAAAGCCTTTTTCATACAAAATACAAAAGCCCATATCACCAAAAGAAGGAGGAAAAATTAGTGACATCATTGAAAAATAGATTGTAGTATAACTGTGCCAAAGTATGACTGGTCAACAAATCTTTAGAAACAAACATACCAGAAGGTTATTACTACACTGTGAGGTAGAAATAAGTAAGGAAGAGCAGAGTAGGGTGGAGAGGAGGTCAGACGTTTTAATAATAAAACAAGCCCACTGTTGTACGTGTTGTAAGTGTCTCAATTCAATTTAAGTTGTCTATAAGAAGTCTTAACAATAATTAAAATTGATCCAAGTCCAATCTGCAAAATTAGCCATCTAGAATGTGCAAGGTATCGGTAGGTACACAGCAGCATCAATTTTTAATGTTTTTGAATAATCTGATGCAGGACTGCACTACACTTTAAAAATGCCATGTGGCACAGAGAATCCTTAAAGTACTGCAGCTGCATGTAGTTGTCAGACAAATTGGAACAGCATTAAATATTTATTTACTATTTAAAGCTTTCCTGCGCTAATCATATGGTATGCATACTAATGAAAAACATTTTTTTTTTTAAATACAATGATTACATTGTTTAGACAGGATGTTGTTACTACATTACTACCACAACTGAGCACATGAGACATAACAATACTGTATGAGATAATACTGATAATACTGTATAGAATTATTAGTAATTGTGAATAAACAATACTTGGAAAACATGTTAATTTTTTATTTTAATACTATAATATATATTATACATTGGGGTTTTTAAAACGTACTATTTACAAGCAAATACTGTAAATAAGTTAAAAATATAAGTGATGGGGTTTTTAATTTGCTGTAATTTGTGCTACTGTATATCTGAAATTGTAACAGTAATTTCCAAGAGTTCTTGATGACTTTTAGGAACTGAACAAACATAATAACCTACAGTCCCACACACAGATTCTAAATACACAATACATAATTTATAGATATAACCAAAACATGCATCAAAAACAGCAAATTTAATATATATATATATATGTGATGAACATGGAATGTTAATTGTTTAGTCAAGGATTAGAAATATTAGAGTTAATTTCAGAGTTAAAATACACATAGACTATAAGGTGTTATAGTCTAATTTGTAGGTTTTATCAGTCTCATATACCTAAATCACATTTATATTCTCAGACACATGCATTTACTATCATGATCTAAACATCAAACATGCATTTGCAAAAATAGTTCAACTCTGGAGTATTATAATGTGAAAAAAATAAGTTAAAAAAAAGGTTTAAGATTTACTGTCCAAACATCCTTGATGAGTTTAAACTTTGTGCTTGTAAAACTGAGCTGGTGGATTGGTCCATGGCAGTTTGCACTGCTCTATGTTGGGAGGGTACCAATGCAGACAGAGGAGAGAGAGAAATTGCCCAGGAACTTATCTAGCAACGTCCATTGGCCTTAACATAGCATTTTGTTCACTTCAGTCTTTAAAAACATTCTGTACACAGTTAACCTTTTTGGAGTCTGGCGGCAGGGTTCTTCCTGGCTTTAGCTTTGTTCAGAACATGCTTGGATATTCCAGAAGTCAATAAAAAGAAAGAATCCAACTTCATAATTTAGTTTGATCAGGTGGAAATAACAGTGGGTTTGCAAACCCAAGATTTATTGTTTCAGAGGTATTTTGGGTAGAATTCTATAATTTACTGACTGTCTTGGCCTGGCTACTTGGAAAAAAGTTTCAAGTCCTGACTCAGACTACTTGCAGTCACTTGGTTGGAAAAGTCAAGATTGCCTCTTTAGAGGGAGAGAGACTGGGGAGTCAGTAGTCAACCAGCGAAAATAAACTGGGTTTATATGGGGCAACATCACAAGTTGGTGATTGGCTGAGATGTTATTGGGCTTGGTTCTGATATCCTATAGATATCCAAATGGTGGATCTTCCTTTGGATGGTTGACCATGCCCTGTAACATTAAGATCAGGTCCAGATATTCCTATGGCACCAGCAGTGGACATCCATTATGGGGAATACCGGGTCTTCAATTCTTGTTATGCAGAGGACAGACTCATCTCCCTCACTTTCCCACACACAAACACCATTCTAAGGCTGAGATCACAAAGAAGGGTCCTCTATGGCTATATTCTTGTGCAGTTAGAAAGAGGAACCAGGTTGTTTGGTTAAGGCGAACAAAGATTAATAGAAATCTTTAATAACACTTAATTCTAAGTGAAATAACAAACACATTTTTGAGTGACTTTGTTGTATACTATAAATTGCATTGTAGCTGATACAAGTGCTCACATTGTATATGTAGTATATTTGTATAGTACACTTAAGAGAGATCACTTGATTGGCCATATACAATTTCTTGTATTAGGAATTTGTCTTTTTCGCATGCCCCAACTTGCTCTCCATGAGACACTGACACATAGAGAGAGAAGCTTGGGGTCAGAGCGCAGGGTCAACCATTTATATGGTGGCCCTGGAGCAGTTGGGGTTAAGGACCTTGCTCAGGGGCCCAACGGAGTAGGATTCCTCTGCTGGCCGTGGGATTCAAACTGGCAACCTTCCAGCCA